TGTAGGTGATGGGGGACGGTACCCTTTCCATGCCTGTGCCGCTTTCCCTCCCCTATCCCTATCCCGGTATTTCACTGTGAGGATGCCAGCTCTGCGTGCAGCAGATTTGGTGCGCGCCAGACCCCCCAGCCAGTTCTTTCATCCCTCTTTTTCAGATCCCGTAAATACGCCGTGTCTCCTCCAGCCCTCCTCCTTTCCAGGAGCGGAGGTCAGAGCGTGGAAGGCATCGCTCTGTCCAAACAGAGCGCGCAGGAAATGGTGCAGATGATCAGATATGAATTGCTGGACGTTTTTGTAAGTAAAAAAAACCCCAAACCAAAAAAAGTGTCTTTTTTCCATTGAGGTCATTTGCAGAAGCACTGATTATAGCGTGGAGCTGTGCAAAATAAATATGTTTGCTCATTATTTCTATCATGCTGAGTTACGTTTGTTTTTAAATTTTATGGCTTGGATCAGACAGTCTGGACAGAAATCTGCTGTTTGCTGTGTGGTCTCGTGGGAGTCGATGGCCTGGCTTGGGCTCATAGGCACAATGGTGGCTTTGCCTCTCGTGGGGTCTGCTCCCGGCCTCTTGCACTTGCCTTTTGGAGACTGGTTCTAGCCATAACACGTGGAGCTGGCCTGAGCTGGCCTTGCTTCTGCCTTCTCTGCTCACACCCCTTCATCTCAGAGCCCACAGCTGCTCATACAGACTTGGCTTGCGATGGGCAGGGTTGGGCGTAGACATCTCCGACGTGCACCAGGAGCCCAGCACCCACACTTGTTTTCGAGCTGCTTACATTCAACGTGGACCCTACAGCCTTGCTTAGCCCCTGCATCCCTCGCATAAGGACAGAAAGTCTAATTTTGTCCTGCTTTCTCCTCCCCGTAAACTCCAGCTTCTTGTTTTGATGTCTTGCAGCCAGAAATCACCGTGCAAAATCTGCCCCGCTACTTGCAACTCAGAAAGCCCTTCCTCATCTTGTTCGGCGATGGTGACATCAGTCAGATGGAAAGCAAGGAAATGCTGAAGCTGGCAAAAGGAGGACCCCAGCAAGAGTTTGTGGCTTGCTGGTTGAACTTGTAAGTATGTAAAAACCTCTTTCCGTTAGCTTGATCTTAGCATTTCAGGGCAATAAAAAGCTGAGTCTGCGATTAGTGAAAACACTGTCTAGCTGGTGATGTGATGGCTGAAGTCATCATGAGTTGGGAGAGCAAATCATTTAGCAACGATTCAGTATGCGTTCTGGGCAGCTGCAAAATTGCACGACCAAGTAAAATTAGTAAATGTTTAATTGACTGCAGAAATCATTTTCAGTAGAGTAAAATGTTCTCAAAGATACTGCATGGTAGCTTGACCCTGGCTCTGGTGTTATTTGTATTTTTGTCACGTATGGGAGAAAAAAAGTAAATTTGCCCTCCTGGAGTGTCTTATGGTGATTTTTCCATCGGCAATTAGAGGGAAGCACAACAGGGCAATTACTGATTGTTGACTAGGAGAAAGAAGGTTTTCAGAAGAAGGGACAGCCAGAAGAAGCCCCATAAGGCAAACTTAAAAAATATTCAAGAAACAAAATGAATCCAGGAGCTAAGAAATAGGAAGTTGTAGGAGAGGGGATTTTTTTTAATCCTCCCCTCCCTAGTTGTGTTTTCAATTTTTAGCCTCTGTTTGTTTTGCCCGAGCCCACAGACACCTCACTGTCTTAATCATAATGTGCTTTGAAGTCTGGGAAGCGCCTCGCAGCGTGGGCTGAAGTTCAGCTAACGGGGAATGCACATATTTTCAAAGAGAGGACCATTTGCTTGCCAGTAATGCACAAGAAACGAGAACCCCTGGAACTTCCCCACCTACACATCTGCCTTTGCTCTCCTTTCCTGAGAAAGAAAAAGCTGTCCTTTGTCAGAGAAAAAGGGCATTGCCACAAAAGAGGGCAGAATGTGGCTGTTGGCTTGGAAAGAGTAGCACAGTCCTAGAAAGAGGACCTCATTCCCATGGTGAGAGCCAGCTCAGACCTCGAGCATCGCTCTCAGCCCGAAAATAGTGCCGGAAGGACTCAGCATCTTCGTGTGCTCGCTGTCCCTCCATCTCGATGTCCTCTTTTGGCTCGCTGTGTCACTCGGGGAAGTTACCCTTCCAGCTCCTGGGGCTGTGGGGAAGCACCCAGCAGTTACCCAGGGGCCGGACCGCCTGAGCACAGCCCTCTGCATCACCTCCTGCCTTCCCATCCCCTCGAACTTGAGCTGGGCTGGAAGGAGCCGGTAGCTCTCCCTGCAAACAGGGGTTAACCACGGTGGGCTGCAGGATCTGTCCCGCTCCTCTCTCACCTGTTCTTAAAAACTTGCGGTGAAGAACATTTCACACCCTCCTACAGAGTTTGCCCCAGCTCCTCCTGCTCGAGGATTTATTTATACATCTAATCTGCTGTCCGCTCCCTCTCCGTTGGACACTAATGGCTTGCTTAAGGCATTGAGCTTATAAATAATGCGGCGAGCTTCTACAGCTGTCCCATAGGCCAAACTGTGTGCTTTGCTGGATGTGGCCCAAGGGCTTTGGTGCTCGCTTGGCTCTCAGTCCTGTTGTTCTGCCAAACCACTGGTGAGCAAATTGAATCTCCTCTTCCCACCAGGAAGAAGACTCCAGTGGGACGCGGGGTCCTGAAGGCGTACTTTGCCACCGTACCTTCGCTGCCTGTTCTCGTCTGGGTGAACCTTCATGCCGGGGGTCAGGTATTCAAATTCCCATCAGAGCAGTCCATCACTGAAACAAACGTCTTGTCTTGGCTGGGGAAGTTAAAAGCAGGACTGGAGATTCCCAGCAGTAAGTGGATCCGCGTTTGTAACATTCCTAAGCACGCACTGTTAGCTCTGATCTGTTTATGAGAAGATGCTATGTGCAATAGATTGTCCGTCCTGGAATTTAATGATGGAAAAACTAGCTATGCCAGTTTGGAGAAGTACAAATAGTCCAGCCAGAAGAGAATACCCGCACTCACGAGTTTGCTTCGGGACTGTTTAATGTTCAGAGCCAAGCGTGAATAGTTCTGAATCGACATCTCTTCCCCGCGATAATCCCCAAACCTGGCTGTGCTCTCCGGTTCTTGCGAACAGACCTTCTTAAACACAGCTTGCTCATGAAAAATCTCCTGACTCCCAGCTCTCAGCATAAGAAATAGCTGCTCTTTAGGCTTTTTCCAGCACTTTTTTGGACGGGGGAGGATAAGGAAGCTGGCGCTTTGCTGTGGTCTTTGGGTCCATAAAGGGTTGGCTTGTACCGTGAAGGTTTTCACTGCATCCCTCCTGCCTTGATCAGCCCGCTGAAGCTTTGGAGGAAGGCAGCAGAGATGTGCGTTCCTCATGTGTTGTGAGGAATGTGCCACAGGGATCCTGGGAATTGCCGGCTGCCAGCCTGCTCCAGGCTCCGGAAAGGTGATGGGGTTGAGTCCGCCTGATCCTTGTGAATTTTAAAATGAGCCTTTCAAAGCAGTTATTTCCAAGAGCCTGGTGGGGTAGGGTGTGTAGGCTCTCACTGGAGCTGAAGACACCATTTCTCACCCACACAGAACCCTGTGAGCCAGCCGTCCTCCCACACCGCTTTCCATCGCCACTGCTAAAGGCATGGGGCTGTCATTTAGGTCTCTGGATAGGGACCTTAGCTTCGGGGGTGTCAGAGGGGTGAGCTGATGGCTGAACAGCTCACTGCACCGACCACAGGCTGTGCCAGCCATCGCAGTCTCCTTCCCCAAGCTTTTAAGTGCTATGAACCGTGTGATCGGTCTTAAAAGCATAAATTAATGAGCATCCTCACGTAATGGGACCGCTTCCTCCCCGCGTAGACGGCAGTCTCCCCGCACTGCTAATGGCGTGACAGTAATGCGCAGTCATTAACACGCTAAAACATCCCCCCGCTGGCGGGCAGGCACCCAGTGTGACCTTTGCAGTGGGGGTGTCTGAGGACAGAGGGACCCCCATAGCCTTTGGGGAGCCTTGGCCAGCTCCCGTAAATATTAATGCACACTTGGCTGGTTTAATTTGGCTGGCGTTATTAGTTTTGGAGGAAAGAGGGTGATCTTTAAGAAACCATCTTTAATTTTGCTTGCACTAGAAAAGCAAAAAAAGCCATAATTCCTTTGAAAAGGAAATGTCTGTGGAGTGGGGCTGCGTAACTCTTCACTTACTAACGTGGGGCTGTGTTCGCTTCTCAGGTACCTTGTCTGAAGAAGACTGGAAGCCGCCTCTCCCTGCATACGACTTCCTCCAGATGATGGAGACAGCCGTGCCCGAGCTTGCCCTCCACACGTCCCACCACCGCAGGGACACGTCGGAGCGGCGCCCGTCCGAAAGCCCGGGAGGGGACACTGGTGTCCGGGAGGAGCCGTCCCAGGAGACCAAGGCAGAGAAAGTCGGGTCCCCTGGGAGGGACCTGCGGGGGACAGCCCCGAGACTGGCGGCAAGGGAGAAGCAGGGCAAGAGACACAGTGAGCTCTGAGAGCTGTGGAAGATGTGGGACAGTACCCAGAAAACCCTCTCACTTTCTGAGCCCTCCGTGAGCCTTTACACCAAGGAGAGAAGTGCTTTTAGCTGAAAATTAATGGTGAAGGGATAAAACAACGCCCTAAGTCTCAGTGTGAGTTCCCTGCTGCAGTGTGCTGGTTGTTCTGCGGTGGCTGTGGTTTCTGATGCCAGAAACGTGTCCGTACCCCCCACACCTTGGCATTCCCACTGTTGGGATTGCATTTCACAGCAAGCGGTGAGAGCGGATCTGCAGGGAGGTTGCTGCGAGGGACCTCAGCCCGCCCCGTAGCTGGGGGAGAGCCGGGGTGAGCTCACCGCACGCTGGAGGCTCGCCCGCACAACGAACTGCGCTGGAAAAGTCGGATCAGCGCAGCCTCGCTCTGTAGTTTCTATATGTCTCACATAGGTGCTTTTGGTTGCCCCCGAGCAGGAAGGGGTGAGTGATTCCAGGATAAAAAGCACATTTCTCTCCCTCGCAGTTGCAGTAGCGGCTCTTCTGATGTGTGTTGGCCAGCCCCGCTCTCCAAAAGCGATTACCTCCGCACTGTAACTATGTGGAGCTGGGAGGGCAAGCATGCCACCCTCTCCAGGGCTGCTTAAACTGGCACCCCGTTGTGTTTACACCTGGCTTGTGAAGGGAATTCATGAGCGTGTTCATCCTTGCGGGTAACAGGAGTATCTGGTTAAAGCAGTTTTATTACAAAGGCCAGAGCTCAGGTCATCACAACAGCCGTGAATAGCCGGGACAAAAATTTTCCAGCAAATCCCAAGGGCAGGCAGGTTGGAAGATGGCTTTGCTCAATGCTGGCATTTTCTTGGTTACAAGCCCGGGGGGTTATTTGCAGCCTCGATTTTTCTTTGCTCTCAGTGACAGCAGTGAGGTTGGTGCTTTCTGAGCTGGGGACAGAGTGGGGAGCGAGGTCTACAGAAAGACCGGCTCTTTGGGAACGAGGGGAGGGAGATGAAGGCCAAGGCTGGCAGTGCTGGGAACAGGCTATCCAGATGTAGGATGGAGCTGCTTCACATCTGTACCTAGATGGGGAGATGCAGGGCGTGGGGAAGGGGCTTTCCAGCCTCTGCTCATCTCCTAGGGACAGCAAAAGGTCTGTCATTCCTTGCTGGAGGACCTGAGCCTGCAGAACATCGGATCCTCCTCCTCATGGCTCTGAAGTTACTGGGGAGGGGAAAAATGATGGTAAGGAACTGCTGAGAGCATTGCAAAGTCTCTATTTCTCATCCTGCAAGCATCCCGCATGGTTGGGAGTATTTTGAAATGCCTAGAAATAGACCATTAGTCCTGGGGTCTCCTTGAAGCCCTTAATTGAAACAGACCATTTTTGGGCTTAATGACAGGCTTGGAGCCAAAATGTATGTATTTAAAGTAATAAACTGTAGCATGCAGATCAGAGCCTGCCATGCAGCTGAGTATTCCCAAGGGAAGGAGTAGGTCGGGGCGCGAACAGATCCTCAGTGAGTTCCCGTCATTCCTCTGCTGGATAAGGTCATTCCGCTGCGCGCAACGAGCCATACAGCGGTCGTTTCCCATCTGATCCCTAACGACGCCGCTGTTACTGCATCACTCTCCCACTTGGTGCAGGTGAAGTGCGATATTCGGGCTTGTCATGGATGCCTTAAATAAATTCTATCTCGAGTACAGTCGATCTGCACCCATCGTGGGCGCAGCGTGGGGAGTGGAGGGGCCGGTGGCCTGGCCTGGGGTGGATGCACCCTTACGGGGACGCTCCCCCAGGCTGCCCAGCCCTGCAGCAGAAGGAGCCCTTCCTTCAGCAGGGTTTGTCCAAGGCGAGGAGCCTTGCCGCATCCCCGCTCTTCTTGGCCGCCCGTACTTTTTTCAGTCGCAGCCCTTCTCCTGTGCAGCATCGGGGCAGGAGCTTGTCACTAGGGGTCAGTGCCACATCTCGGTTATGGCTGCAAAAATTACTGCCTCGCCGAGCGCTGCTTAATTAATGCCGGAGCATTGCAACCAAAGCGATGGGAGACTGGGAACGGCTATCTGGTGGGGTCCTGTGGGGATGCTGGTGGCTGAGGGGCTGTTTGCTCCCAGGGGCAGTGGCTGTAGCAAGCCCGGAGGGCTGGGAAGTCCCAGCTCTGCAGGCTTCAGCCCCCACATCACCAGTGGGATCCGTCAGCCCCAGCCTCCTGGCTGGGCTTGGGGGTGCCAGGAGCCCCGAGCCGAGCCCAGCGGGTCCCTGTGGTGACTTGGGGAAGGGACGTGCTTGTCCGTGTCCTGCCACTGCGAGCATCAAACGGGGTCGGCAGCTGTGTTTGCTGGAGCCGCTGACTGTGAGCACGGGTGCGGGTCAGGGTCCTGGACCACATCAGGGTGCACGGGCCTGGCTTTGAGTTTATTGTTTGGTTTTTTGTTTTTTTAAATACAAAATGTCTTTTTCATTGCGTAGCACAAGCAGGCACTTAGGGAAATCTATCGAGGCATATATGTGCCAGGATATGTATGTATAGGGAGAAAATATTCAGGCTGTTGGGGACAGTTTGATTGTGGTCTGCATCCCACAGTGCGCTCGTTTGCTGGAGGAACCGCTCCTGCACCAGGTTGTTTTTAATAGCTACGGCTCTGGGGACAGAGCGGTGCAGAAAGAAATATTCAGTGGGTGTTTATGGCCTTGAGCGAGGAGCGAGTCGGAGGAAGGAGGGATCTGGAGCTGCGAGGGACGGAGCACATCCCGCCCGGCTGGAGGAGCGGGATGCTGGCCTGCACGCACCGCTCGGCAAAGAAGTGGACGGCAGCCAGCGATCGCCGGGGGACCGAGTGCGCATCTCCCGCTTCTCGGCGCCTCAGCACGTACTGATGCTGAAGTGAGGCAAGTTCACAATGAGTTCTGATGTTATCAGCCCCTTTTTTCAACCATTTAACACCAAAAGACGTGTCTGTTTGGGTAAACCACAGATCTCTCTCCCTGGATGACACTAGTGAGGCGCACGCTGAGCTGAAGAACTATAGATTTCCTGACCAATACGGTGTTGACTATTTACAGCTTCAGACCAAACTCTTCTTTTGATGGTACTTACATTTGCATGCACTTCATGCACTTTGAGAGCCTTTCGGGGGTGTTTAAATGTCAGTGGTTGATCAGAAGATAAAATTATGATACACAAAAAAAAAAAAGGATTATATTCTTGTTCTGGAGAGCAAAACAATTGAAATTATTGTCCGAAACAATAGGAAATTCTCCATGCTCTGTGGTCTGACTGGTCTTTCGCCATCCTCAATGAGGCCCGCGGAGCCATCACCATCAGTGAGGAGGGAGGAAGGCTTGCTGTGAGGGAACATTAAGGGTGCACGTTGTGTTTTCCATGTTTAAAGAGCTTTTAGAGGAATGGTTACGGAGGTGCCCGCTGCATGGCTGGGCCGAGGGGTGGTGGATTGAACGAGAGCCCCAGGGACCCAGCTGCAGGACGGAGGCTTCCATGCCGTCAGCTGCCCTCGGGCGTTCGGTGCCAGCTAACTCAGGAGCCGGCACGTTCCCACTTGCTCCCACTGACATCTCTGCTGGGTGCTCTCCAAACCATGGGACGTCGGGAAGCAATCACAGCGTTTCTCCCATTTTTTCAGCCCTTTGAGCAAAACGAGGACGGTGAACGACGAATTTTCCAAATTGGCTCTTCTCAGCCCATCCCGGACCACTGATGGCCACAGTTCCTCCCGCTAAGCCTCACTCGGTGGCCAGGCTCTCGTCTGGCTCTGCCATAGGGATACGGCTGCAGGACGGCGGAAGAGAAGGCTGGAGCAGGGAGGAGGTGGAAGAGGACATTGACCTCAGGAGGGAGATGCTGCAAGGCAGGAGCGGGGGCACGGGAAGGACACATCTGCCTGCACGCAGGCAGCTGCCGCACCAGCGATTCCTGGCAGCGCTGCCAGGATGTGAAGCAGGACACAGAGCTGGTGGGCTGGCTTGTGTCCCTTGGGCTCATCGGTGCCTGGTGCTGCGTGGGAACGGGGGGTCTGGCAGGGCTGGGGGCCGGTGGGGACCAGTCGCTCCATCCCATCCGGCAGTTCAGCCTGGCAGAGATGCTTTCCCTGCCAACACCCAGCAGGGCAGGTTTCTCTCCAGCACAGCTTGGCCGTGATCCCTGCCATGGGGCACCGTCCCCTGCCGTGGGGCCCTCCTAGCAGTGACGGAGCCGCGGGCAGGGTTGTTTGCCCGGCGTTGCTGGGTGAGGCTGCTCTCCTGCCGAGGCTTTCTCGAATTGCTTTGGGCAGGCGGATGGCCAGACCTCAGTCCACCATTGGGGGCATCCAGTTTTACAAGGGTGATGCAAGCCATCCTGGTAGCCCGGGGCTGTGATCCCCGTGCCCTTGGCATTGCCCGAGGGGATGGGAGAAGGGTCCCATGGCTCGGCAGGGTCTGGGGTGGTCCGTCATTGCCAGCGGGTACCCCTGCACAGACCCAAACCAGCTCCCCGAGCTCACGCGATGCCCTTGCTGCCTGCTGATTTGGGGCAGGGCTGGTGGCTGAAGCACGGTGGTGGGGAGCGGCGGGGGGGGGGTGTGTGTGTGTGTGGATCTGGAGACAAACAGGCAGACAGACGTTGGTCCAGGGGTGGGACGGGAAGTGGTCGGTGCTGTATTAGCACGGCTGGAGGTGGCAGAGGAGCTGCGCTGGGGAAGGGAGGGCGCAGGGGCAGGATGGAGCTGAGATGTGAGATAAGGGGTGGTGGCTGGGCAGGATGGGTTTCCTTGTTGTGTAGGGTGGTTCTTCCACTTTCCATTAGTAAAAATACAGCCGTGCCTCTGGTGCAGGCAGCACCCAACCCCACGCTGCCTGCGGTAGCTTGCAGGGTGGCCGTGATGGGGTCTCCATCCCCTCTGCCCCATGCTCAGCATGGGCAGGCGTTGGGTCTCAAGGGAGCCGCTGGCTCCATCCTCCTGGAGCTGGGGATCGGAATGGAGCTGGGATGAGCAGCCCAAACCAGCTCCTCATAGAACACCTTCTC